ACACCAAATGGACATACTAATACAGAATGGGGAAGTTCATGATTCCTTGAGCCTAAAGAAACAAACAAACAAACGAAAAACTACAGGCAACTAAGGAATGCCGAAAAAGGGAGAAAGAGTCTACCCCAGGAAAGAGCTCTCCAGTTGGCTATCCAATACCAAATGGTCAGCCGTGAGATCATATACCCCGAGGCAATAATATGCAGACTGAGCAGTTTGTATTTACACACACATCTATGATTGTGAGTGACAATAATGAAAGCAAAAGAGGTCATGGTAGGGAGCAGTGTGATCACATGATACTTCTTGGAAGTAAAGCACTAATTTAAAGTCTCTTGAAAGTAAGAATCTCTTTACAAAAAAAAAATTTGTCTTTATTTTAGAACTACTGGACTGTATCTGCATAGTTCCCAACAGGGAAAATGGTAGTTAAGTGATAGAAACTGCCAGAGCAATTACTGGTACTGAAAAATAAGCAGCATAAAAAGGACAGAAACCCAATTTTGCAATGGAAAGGCTCCTTAGCAGCTATTCACTCCTAATCAGTTTCGAGTTTATACTGAATAGAATAATAAGCACTATTAGAATAATTCACCATTCACCAAGAATAATAAACCACTTAGAATAACAAGACTAAAATAATAAGCCAGTGTTCAAACCATGAGAAAGAACTGGGGGTAAGAAAGGATGGTTCTTAAAGAAGTTGAGTTTCTTGCTGCTGAGAGCGGCTGAAATTCTGCCATGTGTGGAACTGTGCAGTAACTGCCAGCATCCCATGTTTGCATCTTGCTCAGTATAATCTGTGGATCCTCTAAGAGAGACAGAGGTGTGGGAGAGGGAGAGGAAGAAAGAGGCAGACGGAGGTGGAGAAGGAGGAGGGAAGGGGAGTATTTTTAATTATTAATCTTTATAGATCTATTTTACTTCCCCACTATTTTACCATTTGCTTCTGCTGCTCTTTCAATCTACAGCAGGATTTGTTTCTAACCTCATCTCCCAAGAATCTTCCCAACATCCCTGGCTCAGCTCAGTTGCCATTTTGTTATTTATTCTTCTCAAGCCCACTTCCTCCACACTAAGCCTTTCTTGTCAGAAGTGGGAGATACAGAAACAAAAGCGATTGTTACTTAGTCTAGTGTCAGCGTTTTAATAAGAGTAATATGGACGTCCAAATCTTGAGATTTTCACTTAAAGGAAGACTTTCCCTTCAAAATAAGTAATAATAAGGGTTCTCCTAACAGTAGCGCAACATAGACCATATAAATACAGGAGAGAAGTTTAGATTCTCATTATTATTGCCAGAATTTTTAGAGATGATTATTTTTAGTCATGTGTACATCTTTGTGTGGGTGTGTGCATTGCAGTGGCATGTAGAGGCAAGAAAAAGGTGTTAGATCTTCTGGCGTTGCGATCTGTCAAACTTTGATACTGGGAACTGAACTCTAGTCCTCTGTAAGCGCGGTAGGAAATCTTAACTCTAAAGCAATCTCTCCAAAACCCTGAGACAGTTTTAACTGTCAACTTGACACAATCTAGAATAACCCCGGAAGAGGGAAAGTCTCAGTAATGGATTGGCCTACAGACATGTGTGAGGAGATTGTCTTGATTACATTAGTTGTTGTAAGAGGACCCAGCTCACTGTGGGTTGGTCCTGAACTGTATAAGATTGGAGAAAGCCAGCTGAAGAATAAGCATGCATCCATTCATTGCTCTTTGCACTTGACTGTGGCTGTGATGTGAGCAGCTGTTTTAAGTTCCCGTCACTAAACTTTACCTGCTATGATGGAGTCCAACTCGGAATTGTGAGCTCACACAAACTTTCTCCTATAAGTTGTTTCAGATAGAGGGTTCTAGCCCATCAGTAATAAAACTAGGACATTGCCCAAACCACTGACTCTGTGGATCAATGAGGTTTTCCAGTTTTAGGATAAGTCAATTGACTAATTTGTAATGCTCTTCAGTTCACACACACACACACACAGCCAGACTCTGTGTGTGTGTGTATGTATGTATGTGTGTGTATATATATATTTGAGGATGTTACACTTTTATACATGGGATCTGATAATATCTCCCTTTAAAGGAATTCCCCTAAATAATTTTGACTATAAAAAGCATTAACACTGAGAATGAAACCTTTTGGTGTCTATCACAAGAGTGAACAGACAGTAGCTACCTTCGTTTGGTTTTCAAATACTGTGATGAAACTCATGCTCAAAAAAGCAAGTTGAGGAGGAAAGGATTTATTTGGTTTACGTGTCCAGATTACTGTGTATCACCGATGGAAGTCAAGATTTGGAATTCAAACAGGGCAGGAACCTGGAGGCAGGAGCTGATGTAAAAGCCATAGAGGGCTACTGCTTATTGGCTTGCTCCTATGACTTGCTAAGTCTGCTTTCCTTTAGACCCTAAGACCACTAGCTCTGGAATGGTACCACCCAAAACAGGTTGGGCCCTCCCCCATCAATCACTAATTAAGAAAATTCAAAACAGATGGATTTTTTTGAGACACTTTCCTTTCTTTTTTATTTTTCTTTATTAAGAAATTTTCTACTCACTCCTCATGCTATCCACAGACCCCCCCTCCTCCCTCCTCCCACTCCCCAGCCCTCTTTCCCAAGCCACCTTGCATCCCTACATTTCCCCAAATGGAGGTCTCCCATGGGGAGTCAGCAGAGCCCAGCTCACTGAGCCTAGGCAGGTCCAAGTCCCTTCCCACTGCACCAAGGCTGTGCAAGGTGTCACACCACAGGCACTGGATTCCCAGAAGGCTGCCCATGCACCAGGGACAGATCCTGATCCCCCTGCCTGGGTGCCCCCCAAACAGTTGGAGCCAAACAACCATCTTCCGTGTCCAGAGGGCCTAGTCCAGTCCCATGGGGGCTCCATAGCCACCAATTCACAGTTCATGGGTTTCCACTAGCGTGGCCGGTCATCTCTGCACATCATCCCATCATGATCTTGACGTCCCTCGTCTGCAGTATCTCTCCTCTCTCTCCTCAATTGGATTCCCGGAACTCAGCCATGAATCTCTGTATCTGCCTCCATCTGTCACTGGACAAAGGTTCTATGATGACAGCTAGGTTATTTGCTAGGCTGGTCACTAGAGTAGACTGGTCCAGGCACCCTCTGGACCACTGCCAGCAGACCAAGGTGTGGTCAACCTTGTGGATTCCTGAGAGCCTCCCCAGCACCCTGCCTCTTCCTATTCCCATGATGTCCTCAGCTATCATGGTATTTTCCTCCCTGCCCTCCCACTCTGTCCCTGTTCCAGCTTGACCCTCCTGTTTCCCTATGTTCTCATCCCCCACTAGGACACTTTTCTTAACTGAAGTTCCCTCCTCTCAGATGACATTAGCTTATTTCAAGCGGACAAAGAGGCAAAACATATTTACAGGATCACTTGATCTCAGGGTGCAACTCTGGTAGCAAAGGCAAGCAGTTTCTTTGGTTAACTTAATTAATTAGTGAGCACCAATGTCTGCTCAGTTTAACCCAAATACTACACTGATAAATAGTGAAAGAAAATCCTTTACATGTTTTAAATTTGGAAATATTTCTTATACTCAAAACCATTTCAAGGACTGGCAAGGTGATTCAGTGGTTGAAGAAGCTTGTGGCCAAGCCTTATGGCCATGAGTTCAATACCCAGGATCCACATGGTGTAAAGAGAGAGCCAACTCCTGCAAATTGTTATCTGATCCCCACATGCACACTTCAGCAAGTTACATCCATTTGTTTGTTTTTTTGAGGTCCTTTTCCACCTCTTTTCTTGGTTCCTGGCAATTTCATGTATAAATATGCCAGGAAAAATGTGTTTTCAGTGATGCTGTAGCCAGTATCTGGTTCCACTGCTGATAGGGATGGAAATGTTTTGGTGAAATGTGCAATTAGGTATCAAATAAAAATAACACCATGGGATAAATGTATCATATATGATAATAAAAAGAAACAGTTATGCTTTTATTGAAAGTATGGCAAGCTCCAATTTGATCTCTACAAAGTATTTGTTGTTTTTGTTAAATTCATTGGCCAACCCCCTTAGCTATGTCCTCATAAAGCTCTGCTCATAGCCAAGTTAAAAAAAAAAATCTGCCACTATGTTCTTATTGTCTGAATCTTGATTGGACCAGATAAATCAGTTTTAGTATGAAAAACTTTGCCCTGGATTAAGTTTATCCTTATTGTTTTTAGATTCCTAATTAGTGCATTTCTTTCTGTGTGCGTGCATGAGTGTATGTTTATGCATGTGTTCAGGTGTGTGTATGTGTATGCTTGTGTGCATGTGTATGCATGTGGAGGCCAGGAGACAGCCTTAACGATTGTTCCTTAGGTGCTTCCACCATAGTTTTTGACACCAGGGCTCTGTCTGTCCCAGAGTGTGTTCAGTAAACTAGACTAGTGAGCTTCAGAGATGCCCATGTCTCCTCCTCAGTCTTGAGATTGCAAGACCTTGACACCAGCTTAGTTTTTCAGTATGGATTCCGGGGAACAAACTCAGGTTTGCTTACAAGGGAAGTAACTTAACAATGGAACCATCTCCTTCCCAGCCTGCAATTCCTAAGTAGTACCTTCCATTACAACTTGATAATTCAAAGATAAGTTGAATCTTTCTGAGCTGTTGAATTCTCAGGAAGATATTGAACTTGACCTAGACAGATCTGTAAGAACTAGACAAAAGGAAAAGATGGGAAATCTCACAAAGATAAATTATATATTTTACAAATATGAATAATATAGTGTTATATCACATTAAGTATGGACATGATGAATTTTGTGATTCAGAGTGGTGGATGAGATGCATACAACTGAGAATGATTGCATGTGTCAAGATATAGACTTCAATAAAGAATATATAAACAACTTTAGGGAATTAATTATGAACTTGCAATTATGGCATTTTTGTTAGCTGCTGTTTTGTAACCTAATAGGAATAAAAGGTTAAAAATAATATTTGTACGTGCCTCAATGGTTTTATAGTATTTAATTCATTCTTACAGTTCTTCAGTAAGATCCTGCATTGAGTCCTGCTTTCCAATGGAGGAGGTATGCCAGCGTCAGCCATAAGTGGAAGAGCCCTGTGCTGCTGAAGCCAACAGATGCACATGGCCAGGAGATGTAACTTGGTATCCTGGGATGAGGAGAGGCTTTTTGAGGAAGTTTCGCATGTTTTCAAGCCTAAGGATTGATGTACTTCTTATTTCTTATCCAATTATCTGTATGGGGTTTTATGTCACAGTGAACATTTAGTTCCTCTCAACAGTATCTACTCCCCTCTTTATAAATATTTTAAACTCCTCAATAAAACCAAAAGCACAAGTCTTCAAGACTATATTATTCATCCAAATAAATATAGGGCTAGAGTTGTCTTTACAGTCTAGATTCTTGGCTTGAGCTTGTAAAGTGAATTTTCAGTGTCTCTTAGAGAATACCCCTTCAATGCTGTTCATTCCCACAGAATGAGCAATATCTTGCTGAGTTTTTGTATTAAAAAAAGAAATGTTGCTTTTTTGTCCTCTCTCCCTAGGAGGATTACTAAATGACAGAGCAGTCCATTCTTCTCTTCTAGAGTTAATTGCATTTTAATGAAGAACACACCATGTTGTGTTCAACTGACTGACAAACACTCCTTGATGACTCAGAAGCAAGCTAAGAAGGAAGCTATAGCACTTTCTTATTTACCCTAAACCATACTCTATTGTCAATTAAGCATGGCATAAAAGGGGAATGCTCAGGTTTTTTTTTTTTTTTTCAAATTAGCAACCAATGATTAGAAGATGTACTAATTGAGGTTAGCAATGATGACTCTGATTTTCCAACCTGGACACTAGCTGGAATCACAGTTTGCATCATGGGTAACACTGCAGTAACAGAAGTGTACCAGCTGAAGACAAGTTTTGAATAGTACATGATCTCATATGGGCAGAGGAAATTATTTTGTTACCACAGTTATTAATGCACATAATGGAGGAAATTTGAGGAGAAAATTTTGTCCACAGCAAAGATGATTAGTTAAAGATTCAAATGAGAAAGTATTATATAAATACGGGAAGGAGGAAACAAGTATGCTGAGTGGCTAACACACTTGTTCTTAAACTAGCAAGAGATCAACCAGAGTGGGAGTCATGGAAGAGAGGTTCCCTGGTAGGAACTGTAGTCTCGAAGGGTGGCAGTGGTTGACTACATGATGCTAAAGCTGGGAAGAAATGTTCATATTTCTTCTCTGGTGCTCTCAAATCTTCTACAGATGCCTGTATATGTTTTCGCAGGCTATAATAAAGCTCAGTTGACAAAAGAGGCAAAAAGAGTTTGTCTTGTCATAAAATGCATTACTGGAACAGGAAGATGGAAGGTGGTGATCACCTAGAGATGTACTGTGTGATGGGTTAGATCTCATCTTGATTAGGCAATAGAGTGCCCAGGTACTTGGTTAAATTTTTTTTCTAGGTGTGTCTGCAGTGATGTTTCTGGAACAGATTAGTATTTGAAGCACTAAAATAAATAAATCAAATTTTGTTAGATAATGTGAGTTAACATTAATCAATATGTTGAAGGTCTTACGTTTTTCTCTTGCCCTTTCCTCTGTCTCTCTTCTCAGATAAACCTAACCAATACAGGCTAGCACAACAGTAAGAGGAGTCCTTGGGGGTTTTAATGGTTAATGGAGAAAAGGCAGAGCCTAGAATGATTGAGTGACTGAAGCTAGCCTAGTAGAGGCAGATTTTGTGACTATATAAGAAAGGGCTGGTGATAAGAAAAAGCTAACATTTTTGTTAGCTTTTCTTGTCTGTGTGTATATGTTAAATTGTCTGAATAACCTAAAAGTCCCATAACTTTTCATGTGATATTTGAGCTGGCTATGGGTTCCACTTAGAAATGCAGTCTGTGATCATCAAAAGCAAGCATTTTCCACCTCTAAGAAAGAAAATTCTTTCCAAAGGAATCCAGCAACCATTACTAGTTACATGACAGGCAGCTCTTAAGAGTCTACAGTCATGAGTAATATACCCTTAGAAATGCTCTTAGAATGCATAGTATAGTTATTGAGGCTTTACCTTAGAATCTGTACCCTAAAATGTTATTACATCTCTCTTAATGGAGGCTATGTCTGAAATGCAAGATGTGTTTATCACATTTTTATGAATAATTCAGTACCTTCTCTTCTACATTTACAAACTTGCACACTTTGGAACCTATTATGAACAGAATGATAACTGAAAAAAAGAATATTTGGAATTCCTGAGCCAAATTACTGGTAGACAACCCGTTAACCTTACTTGAATACTAGCTATTTTTAGGAAACTTTTCTTCAATCTTTTAGTAATTTTTATAAATTGCTGGAAGAATAGGCAAGATATCAAATTGTGATCTTGCTCTTCAAACATATTTGCCGCAATTTATGCAACTCATTTTTACAAGATAAAAATATTCAAAATTAAGAAATTCTATATATAGTAAGGCTGATGTATTCCTAGTGCAGCTCGAAGTGTTTCAAACACTTAAAAATATCTAGTGCCCTGCAGTGTTATCACCTATAAATAGATGATAATCAATCCTTCCAGCATTTCTGTATTTGAGGCATAAAATTTGTAGTTTACTCATTCATTAACCTCTGTTACCACATTTTAAGATCTGTTCCAATTGTATGCTTAAAATTAATGAGCTAATTAATTGAGGTTTTGTAAAATATCTTAATAGGTCTGAAATTAAGGCATCTCTGTTAGCTGTTGACCATAATTTTGTGTACCAAATGCTTAGTATCTAGTATTAAGGAAGAAGATTACTATAACATCATGAATTGATAAAGTCAATCAAAATAAGTATCTGTGTTATTTTGGCATAAATAATAACAGATATAAAATAATATCATGTAGAAAGAACAAAAATCTAAAACTGAGACTAGGATTTAGTTAACTACTAGTAGAAGTGGTTGAATTTGACTAATATTTAATTATTCACAGATCTACTTTCTTAGCTACAATGTAACAGTATAGCACTACACTATTTACTGATTTGTGAATTATGTGAACAATTGTTTTAGATGTTTGCTTTATTTAAGTAGGTGAAGATTTAGTACATTGATTAAATTGCATACATTATAACAAGTTATTAAACTATATAACAAAGTGATAACTATCTAGAAGTAAAACATTGGACCATGTAACTCATACAAAGAAAAATATCCCTCTTTTTTATTATGTGTCCTCTAAAAGTAGATCAATAACATCTGGTGATGGTCCTACAGGAAGCATGAAGAATATACTTACACAAAGAGCTTCCACTCAAATTTCTTAATCTGAGGTGACTTTCAGTTAAAAATATTTTATTATACACCATTAAAGTTTTATATATTCATAGTATGAATATCTTGTGAACTCATGGAGTCAGAGTTCCAGCAGACTTAAATATCGGGACTACTTTTTAGAGGTTCACAACAAAAATTAAAATGGAAAAAGGGTCTTACAATGAGCAGTCCTCATGTCTTTTAGAATAGTAGTATGAACCAAAGGCCAGTATCTATTGACTCAGAATGTGTATTATTCCTGAGATTTTCATGAGGTCAATGTTTTCATTAACTGCCTAATAACCATACTAGTTTATTGAAATACACAACTTCAACTTTCATATTATATTGCAGTAGATTAAAATGCTATCAGACAGAAACTTAAATAAAACTGATAAAGTTCATGAAAGGAAACATATACGTATTTGATATTAGAGTACCTATACTAATCTTTACGCTTCATTAACAAAATATGTAATACTTGGGAAACTTTAAAAGAACAAAAATTTATTTTTTATAGTTCTGGGGAAGTTCAAGGCATCATTGGTAGATTGAAAATCTGGTGATGGATTGGTTTTGTGAATTATGATGCCTTTCTTGTGTCTTCAACAAGGTTAGTGAAGAGTGTCCTCAGGTGGCAAAAAACATAAATATATAAATGAGTCTTTGCCAATCTCTTCTGTACAACATCAGTATATGCATGAGGGTAGTATTACAAATAACTGCAGAAGGACCCATCTGTTACCATAGCTGCATTTGATTAAGATTCCCGTAAATGGCCTTTAAGAGGATGTTAAAGAATGTTAGAAGATAAATTTTGAGCTGAGAGCTAAGGCAGAGGGGAAAAAACAGGATGCATAGGAAATAGCCTTTACAAATTTAATTCCTGAAGGCACAGGAAACATGGAGATCTTGAACAGAGAGAGCAGAAAAATATTTTTAAATAAATCAAAGCAACATTGTGACCAGAACAAGACAAGTTGCTGATGGGTTACATGAAGAAGAAAAAGCCATAAGAAGGATTTTATTTTTAATTTCTTTTTTAAAAGTTTGTATTAGTTCTTTGAGAATTTCATATAATCTGTTTTGATCACATTAACCACCTTTTCCCCAAACTTTCTCAGATTCACTCTCTTTTCTGATCTACCCAACTTGTATTCTTTAACTCATCAAGACCAATATGTGCTGCCCAAAGATTCTTGCATATGTGCCCTTTCCTGACTTTACCTCTTCTAGCAGCCAACAACTGCCAATATCTTATGGCTAGGGGTGAGATTTTGTGCTCAACTCCCCTCTTCATGATGGGATTTGGTCTGGCTTGGGCTTGCACTGGTCTTGTGCATTCTTTCACAACTGTTAAGAGTTTGTGTGCAACTGCCTTGCTGTGTCCAGAAGACACACTTACTTTGTGTTCATTCCTTACCTCTGACTCTCATTCTCTTTCAATACTACTTCCACAATTATCTCTAAGTATTGGGAGGAAAGAGTGTGATAAATAGTGATAAATATAGTCCATTTAGTGCTAGGCATTCCCAAGCTCTTATTTTCTATGCCATGTTTAGTTATGGGTTCTGTCTTAATCATCATCCACTCAAAATAGAATCTTTTCCAATGAGGATTGAGTCATGCATTAATCTATGAGAATAGTTATAAAAGGTTTTAGGAGTTAGTTTAAAACTGTATCCATTTAACAAAATAATAATAATAGTTTTTCCCTCTAGGGTTTATATGAACTTTAGCTCTAGGTGTTTGGGCCAGTATTGGTGCCGTGTCTGAATTTCATCTCATAGAATAGGGCTTAAATCTAATAAAAAACTATTGGTTATTCTCATGATGTTTATGTCAATATTGTACCAGTGGGCATATCTTATCAGAAAGATCATTATTGAAACTGATATGATTTGCAGTTGTACATTATAAAACCTATTCAAATAATACACATAACACCTTCTTCTTCAGTAATACATATAATACCTTCCAGCACTATAAATGCTAGCCAGTAGGAAGAAAGATTCCAGGTCAGTAACAGCTTGATTTCTCCATTTTTCTGTGACAAAAGTATGTGGTATCTTCAACAACGGTGTCTTACCATCAGGTTCTGGAGGATAACCAATAGTCTTGACAATAAACTGTGCTTTTTGAGATGTTCTATAGGACCTCCAGGGTCACAACTAAAAATGATGTCACCTACTACTGGCATTGGGCTTTTAATTTGTTAGTCTTTGGTATCTAGTAGGGAATTGTTGTATTGCTATAGAGTAACTCCATTTCGATTCCTTTTATGTATGTCAGCATATATAAACACACACTCACAGTCACACATGTACATGCACACATGTGTGTGTGTGTGTGTAGTGTATCTTTTAGGAACATCTACAGTAGGAAGTTTCCATATGACATTTTATAAAGGTGTTTAGTCTTTATTTTCAAATGCAGTAGAAAAACTTTGGTATATTTATAGGGAAAGACCATGTTCCTGAGGAAAAATTATGCATTTAATTAGGAGCATGTTATATATAAGCTACAAGAATGATGTGTAGGAAAATATGCCAAGTGGGGGATTCCAAACTCTTAAAAATAGTGTATATGTTACTCATAACATATATTATACACATATGACTGTAGAGAGAAATGATTTCATTGCTTTTGTATGGGAATATATTATGAAACTGTACATTTTTATTAAAATATATACATTTCTCCTCTGAATTTAATAGAATTTAAGAACTAGAAGTGATAGGTGATTCCAAGGAAACATTGTCTTCTAGATGCAATAAGACTGATGTACATATGAACTCACAGAAACTGTGACATCACACACAAGGCCTGTACAGATTCAAGCCAGACATTTCTTTCCTATCTATTAATTACTGTATTTTTACCCTTTTAGGATCCACCCAGCTTCTGGTTAAGCAAATATAACCTTACTGATTCTATCAAACTCATTTCCTTGTCTCACTCTCCAGTATTTTAATAAATTTCTTTCTTTCCTGATGTGTCTCTACTGTCTTGTCTCTACTTTGCTGACAGTCGG